ATTCTCTTCCCCCTGAAGTGTTGGTCAAACATGGTGCTAACGTTGAGTGGGCCGATTTCCACGTCACTCAGGACGTGAATAACGAGTCGCTACTGTGCTACAAGCTGCTGGGAGTAAAACAGTCACTGGCGATTTCAAACATTCATAGGCGTGTTTCTTTGAGTTGGATAAGAGAAGTGGAGCAATTTAAAAATGTTCTCAGTTTCCTGAAAACAGATGTTTGCAGATGGTGGATGAGGGTTAAAACGTGTTGAAAAGGTGGAGATGTGTTAATCGAACTTAAATCAAAGCTTGAAACCAGGAAGTTTGTTCCCTGCTGTGCGCCCACTCAGATGCTCCACGCCCCGTCCAGCAGACGGCTGCGCTCGCTAATCATTACCCGGCTTTGTCTCGTCATTAAATCACTCTGCAGTAAAACAGCCAGAATAAAATTTGTCATGAGCCAACCTGAAGAAGTGGAGCATAAATACAGGAAGCCTGAGCGTGGAGTTAATCTGCGTTTCCAGGGTTTTATTGAAACAGAAAGTGGGATTTCTGCGTTTGTTTTGTGCATGACTGAGCTTTAAGATGTTTTCTGTCAGGTACATGCAGACGTTTATCCCGTCTCATCCCCTCAAACGTGTTCCCTGCTGTAATGAAGCAGCCTGGGATTATCGCCTGTTATCCTATTACCGCTCAGTTTGTAAGCTGTCAGGTGTGGACGACATCAGGCAGCGGCAGCCATTCATACCTGTGTGCAGATATGCCACGACATGCGTTCACACCTGTGCATTCCTCGTCTTGGATTTCAGCCTGAGAGTTGGGAAAACATCCCACCTCCAGTCAAGAGAGGCACAGCCTTGAACATTTCTGCCAAAAACTTGGGAAAACTGAGGAAAAAAACAAGGAAGTTTGTGAGCTTGAAAAGTTTGAAATTTGCTAGAAAAATTCCGAAGATTTTGAGATTAATCTCTAAGTTTTCCAGAGAAACGAGGAGATTTCTGATTTTGAAAAGTTGAAAATTTACAAGGTTAATCTCAGGAATTTTGAGATTATTCATGGAAATATGAATTCAAAAAGTCAAAAATGTGCTAGAAAAAAATATTTTGAGATTAATCTCAGAAATGTCTTTTTTTTCTAGATCATTAGTTTGAAAATTAAAAAAGGTGTGAGAAAAAAAAACTTAAATTTTTTACTTTATTCTAGAAAAATGAGTAAGTTTTCTCCTCTTGTTTCTCTAACGGCTCTAATACGGCATCGTAACATGGCTCCCGTCACGAGTGTCGGGAACGTTTCCTGCTGTATTGACAGATTGATGCTGTTTGGACTTTGGTTTTAAAGGTTTGGATTGTACTTCCAGATCTGCGACAGACCAGAATAGAAAAAGTCCAGCAGTAGTCTAGACAGGTAGAGAGAGGAGTGTCGGCCAATGTGACTTACAGTCATATTTAAATCCGTAGGTGAGGCAGAGGTGAGTACGTACAGCTGCTTTATAGTGCCGAGTCATTACTTTGAACAGGCAGTATGTTAGGAGTTTGGTTATCAACCCTGAGCACCATTATAGAAGCTGGAGTTGCTATTTAATTGGGATTAATGACGTATTTTTGAATTAAATAGTTTTGTCCATTTACTGCATTTTGTTCTAGATGGAAAGATATCAGCAATGACTTTAAGGAAGATTTATTTACAAGAGGAGAAACATTTCATGGCTCCTGGTTGATGAGCTTTCTGGGTGTGAAAGTCCCATAAAGTTTAGTCCAAGATCAGAGGAAAGACGGTAAAAAAACCAAAAACATCTCAGATCCTCATTTAGCTAATTTAGCTTGAGTTCAAGATTACAGAAACCCTGTTTAGGTTTGTCAAAACTTCTACAACAATGTTCTTTTTCTGAGGCAGATGAAAGTAGAGACTTGATTCAATTCAAAGACTCTTTATTTACCCAAAAAGGAAATTAAATTCAGTCGCCATAGATGGTGATGCTAAGGGCATGAAGGATCTCCAGTAACGGTCAGTGTTGCAGTGAATCTCAAGAAGCCTCTGACTGAAGACTGTTGCCATAAGACAACCGTCATGCTAACATGCTAACAGCTCGATATCCAGGCAGCAGAGATGATATTCTGCAGATGTCCTTTCTTTACGCCTGTACTTTATTAACCAAGTCTGGAAAATGATTGTAAGTCCTGAAGAAATCCCGATGGAGACCTCTTTCACAGATTTTAGGAACGTTTCGGTAAAATCAGTTTGTTTTAAAATATTTTTGCACCATTCTGTAAATCCAATCTGGGTTTTCAGTTCAGTTTTACGACTGCATGCTGTGGTTTTTTTACGACTAAAATACATTTTCCTCCGGCAGAACGGACGGCGTCTCCGTTTCTTCAGAGAAACTCTTGGGAATAAAACAAATTTCCTGCTGTCACCGAGCGCGCCTCGCCGGCGTTTGATCAGCAAGACGTCGGTGTATAAATAGGCAGGACGGCGTTTGGGTCGTCAGCAGGCCGCCGTGGACCTGCAGCTGCCAATGGGCTGATTACGATCAGCTGCTGCTGCTGTAAGCCTCAGCAGGACATGACTGCTGATTAGAGCAGATCTGACCCGAAGCAGCAAGCTGAGCGTTTATCTGACACGGATCATCAGATGGAGCCGTCCAGAACAGACACCAGAGATGCTAAATGGTTAGCTTAGCTTCAGTGTTGATTCAGGGTTTGTTAGTTGGGCTGGAGTGCAGCAGGTGGAAATGTTTGATCCTTTCATGATTTTTCTGCCTGATATTTTCTTTTATCCTCCAAAGTTGAGTTGAAGTTGTTACTTTATTGATTAATAATCTAGTTAATCTGTTTACAGCAGATTATAGGCTAATGAAGCTCCATACGTTTACATAAGATGATGAAGGATTTCTGTAGAGTTTTCCCTTATTCTCTCCATCCAACGGTTGGATGGACAGAATTTGGTTGTTTGTCTGTTCATCCATCCATTTATCTGTTCATCCATCCACCTGGTTGTTTATCCTTCCTTCCATCCATCCATCTGGTCATCCATTCAGTTATTCCATCTATATGTCTATTTGGTTGATGGATCGGTCTGCTTTAACTCATCTGTTGGACAGTAAGCTTCATTTCTGTGCATTTACTATTTTAAATAATGAGGATTTTCTTGCCAAATTGTCTGTATTTCTGCAATTAAAAAAAAAGGTCAAAAAAGCTCTCAGATCAGCATCTGTACAAGCTGAAAGCTGTTTGTATTCCAGCGCTGTGCATGCTGAGGGGAACAGAGACGCCACACCCATCAAAAACAAAGACGTGGATCACTTTTAACAATTTAATTTCATTCTGTCAACACAACAGCTGCTCATCCGTTGAGCTTAGCAGCCATTTCACGCCTGAATTAAAGGAAAAGAACTCAGAAAGACCGGGAGAAGAATCCATCAGAACAACTTCAGAGGATTACAAGATTACCAAAATGTAGAGAAAAGAGATTATTTTAGACTTTTGGATCAAACTAAATGTGATAATAATGTTACTTAAGCTTTTCTTTTATAAAACCAAGCCAGATTCATAACTCTCATGAGATCAAAAATGTTTGCTGCTGTTTTATCCGTTTGTCGGCGCTGCCGGTCCGGTTGTGTTAAAGAGCGTTCTTGTGCAGCTCTCTGTCAGCTATGGAGGCGCAGCGTTAGCGGTTAGCTCGTTTTGACGCCCTCCGGCCCGGATGAGAGATTGGAAGCGTAAACTGAGACATGAAGTCACGGCTGTGTCTCTTTTCCTTTAGCTGGACTCGTCCTGTCAGCACCACCAGCATCAGGCTAACCTTTATTTATTTGGCCATCATCATCATCAGAGCTACTCATTAGAATTAGGTCATTGTTTTATGTTGGATCTGTCTGGAAACAGAAAGTTGTGATGAGATCACACCTTGTGCCGACAGTTTTTCCTGCAGGTTGTTTTTTTTTTAGCTGTAGCATCTCGTTAACGTCGGCCTCCACCCTTTATTCATAAGTAATGAGCTTCAGCAGGAGGCAGAGCAGACATGCCGGCTGGCCGAGGCTCGTCCCGGTGGACCGCAGCCTCTTATCTCTCTCTGTAACGACATATGCATCGACCAGCAAGACGAGGAAATGGGCTAAAAAGAGCCTCAGGATTCAGGAAGGCTTTTTCTGCCATCATGGGTCAAGTGCTGAGTTATTTGTTCGATCGCAGATGATCTGAAGTAAAACAAAGATTACCCAAAAATTTATACATTTTTAGAATTATTTGTAATTCAAATTACTTTATTTAAAAATATTTTTTAAATATTTCAGATTATTTTATATTTAAAATTAGTTGAAGAAATTAAATGATTTTAAATCATTTTAATTGGTATTGCAATATTTTGGTAATATGAAAACGATATCCGTATCGGTCCTGATATTGGAAAAATTCTTGATCGGGTTTTGGTTCTGACCCATAAGTCAGTCTATTTCTGTGCTTTCTTATTTATTTTACATTATATTTAGGATTCCTAATTCTTTTTTCTGAACCATTTAAATTTGTTGCAGTTTATTTTACCAACTAGTCAACCTGTTATTTCCGACGGCGTCTTTATTCATCCTAATTGCTCTGACTGAACTGATTAGTTGTTTTTTAACATGTTTAGTAAATGCATAGTAAACCAATGTTAAGATTTAATCAATAAAACTGATTTATCACTCAGATGTACTTATTTTTGTTCAGCTCCTGAACATTTTCATTCTTTACTGATGTAATTGACTAAACAAACTATCAGAAAAGTGATTTAACTCTGTTAAATTGAATCCTTTATTTAGAGTTGAGTATTTTCCTAAATTCCATTTAAAGCAATAAATTATCCATCATCTATTGTCAGAATTTCTTAGTAAGAGTTCAAACTTTAACAAATGGCATGTTTGAGTTTGTGGTGAATGTCTTTGTAGACTCGTGGTTTATGTGGCGGTGAAGCAGACGTAGCATCGTTTCTCCTTCTCTGACCTCCATGTTTCTCCCTCCTCCTCCTCCTCTTCCTCCTCTCAGATGACATGGCGTCCTCAGTACCGCAGCTCCAAGTTTCGCCACGTGTTCGGGAAAGCTGCCACTAAGGAGAACTGCTTCGATGGCGTGCCGATCACACGCAGCGTCCAGGACAACCACTTCTGCGCCGTCAACCCTCGCTTCGTTGCCATCATCACGGAGTGCGCCGGGGGCGGAGCCTTCCTGGTCCTGTCGGTCAGCCATGTGAGTTTGCACCGATTTAGCAGGGAAGACACTGAGGGGACGACTGCTGCACCTCTCCTGCTTTATAAATTCATGAACAGTTCAGATGGGAGCTGAATAAATGGAACCAGAGCGAAGTCGATGCGAGTTTAATAATTACAAAGGACTGTCCATAAAAATCGGAGATGAAAAAGCTGGAAGCATCTGTGTGATTGGCATCTGTACAAGTCAGGCAACACGATTAATTTAATCTCAGTATTGATGCAGCCGTTCAATAAATGCTTGAGGTTTGTTTGAGAATAAATTTTAGTCAAGTACTCGAGAAAGATGGTCTTTATGGCAGAGTGGATGGAGATAGTTGGGTTTTAACTGGTTGCATTTACTCAAGTTGCCTTTTTATGAAAAATTACTTTTATTAGCATTTTTACCGTGCTCTGCTTATTACCTTTACTTGAGTAATGTTATTGTGAAGTGTCACTGCTCTTACTTGAGTAATATTTCTGGATTCTCTTCCTACTTTAAGTAACTTCACTGAATCAAGAACAAACATATTTTGACCAAAAATTCACAAGACACAAACACATTCTGTAGTTTATTTAAAATAAGGTTTTTATTGAAAGAAACTGATTTGGAAAATCTTTCTGATTTTGTCATTTATTTATGTGAATTATTTTCATTTTGGTCTTTTAAAAAGACCAAAATGACAAAAATCCCGACTCTGGTTGTTTCTGGATGACACTGGGAGAAGGATTCTTTAAATAATCGATTATCGGTCTCATACCGTACCATTATGACATGGTGACAGTTTAAAGAAAAATGTTTTTATGAAATTATATACCACAGCTTTAAAGAGACTCTTTATGTGACATTAGTCCTCCCCTCGTGACATTTCAGTGTCACAATTTATCGATTTCTGCTCAAAAATGTGGAAAAACCATAAAAGTTTCTTGCTGTGGTTTTATTCCACAGTTTCCTGTCGTAGCTGGAGGGCTATGGAGTTAAAACGGTGTGAATTTTTAGTCATAAACTAAATCCCCGTTTTGTGGTGAGATATTTTATGATCAGTTTGATCAGCATTTTTATCGACGACTCCTCGTTCTTGCAGGTTAGAATGTGGCCCCTTTGGCACTTTTTTCCCAGCAAGATTCATCATTCATTATCACAAAATATCAAGGAAAAAAAACCTGAGGTGACTGGGGGAATTTTGTGTTCATCTCCAGATTAGAGGGATTTATGGTGCTGAGCTCTTCTTTCCTTCTTCCTGAGAGTTTGCACCAGCCTCCTGGCACGGCTCACGGTTGCATAGGAGCTCAGGAATGACTTATCTCATTTCTCGACCCTCCCTTGTGTCTCGAGGAGGGGAAACTTTCTCTCTTCACCATCCCACCGCTGCGTGCAATCAGTCTGCAGATAGAAACAAACATGTAAGCCACATGAACTGGTGGTCTGAAGGCTGACTCTACCTGCAGGCCTGGGGTCCAGGGAACGCTCTGTTCCCACATGAATACCATTTTTAGACTCAGTTTGATCTGATATGAAGGGAGATGTCAAAAAGTTTTGATTTGGTGTCAAAACAGGAATCCATGAATCCATCTCCATTTTCCCTGTGCATCAGGCTGACTGGCTTTTCAGTCATAATTATCTTAATGTTTTCAATTTTCATTTCTGCCAAAAGGATTTTTGCTGATTTATGTGGAATGAGGCAGCAGGAAGCCGTGTTGCGTGTCTGGATCCGTCAGGTCTGGTGAAGTCTAATAAATGCCTTGCAGGGACATTAATCTGAGCAATGCTGCATGGAGCTTACAATAAAAAAAATACCTGGCAGATGTTTGAGAGTTGGAAAGGAGTTTTTTCTTTTACCTGCGCTTACCTCCAAACCAAACCGTACATCTGTGTCAACATGTCTGGATTTCTCTGGAGGTGCAAACGTCGTTAGGTCGCCTTCTGTGGAAAAACTGGCTGGATTTGGTAACATCATCCAAAACTGGCCATTTATTACCAAATGTCATGAATACAGGTTAGCTGCTTTGACTTTGAATTGTTTCTGAATTTAAACTAATTTGCCAAATCAAACTTTGCAAACCAGATCAGATTCTCAGTGGCCGATACAGATGTCAGGTGTTTCTTCTGTTTAACAGAAACTTGTGTGTAAAATTTGTTTTATTGCCACAACTATGTGAAATAATCAAACATTTTTAAAAGGGAAATCACCATATTTGAGTTGGTCATTTCGTTAAAAATTAAGTTGCATATTTTCAGATTGGACCTTGGTGTGAAATGATTCAGATAGCAGATCGGAGCTCAGCGTTTCAGTCGGTGGCATCCAGTCTCTGGCTTTGCAGCAATCTCTCCTCCAAAAACCAAGAATTACAGGAATCTTATGACTCTTGTTGTTTTTCATAGATGGAGGGAATTCCAGTTTTTGTGAATTTCATGAACAGAAATTAGTTTCTTACAGTATTTGACTTGAAGATGAATAATCGAAGCCAATCAAGGACAGATTTACCAAAACTGAAGGCTGACAAATTGAGATTCATCCAATTCCAGCTGTCTTTTCTTTTTTTCATTTAATCAATGAAGTTTATTTGTTTAGCACATTTCAGCACCAAGGCAGTTCAAAGTCCTTTACATCATAGAAATATGAAGTCATAAAAGCAACATGCAGTCAGCAATTAAGCAACCATTAACAAACATCACATTTTGTCATCATCTAGATATATTTTCTGATGGTATATGAACAGGGTAGGCAAGTATAAGCTCTGGCTTCAGCCTACTCCTTTTCTGCTAAATTATGGGTTTGTTTGTTGCTTTTTGTTTCCTGTGTTGACAATTTACCAAAATGAAGTGAAGTGAAAATGATCAATACACATCAGATTTGCTGATCAATGTTCCATTTATTATGACTCAGAAGAAACAGGCGAGTTTTTAGCTTTGATTTGAAGGAGCTCAGTGTTTCGGACGTTTTGCAGGTTTCTGGAAGTTTGTTCCAGGTTTGTGGTGCATAGAAACTGATTGCCCAAGCTAATTATCATTTTCCTGCTCATAAATGGATTTTCTCTGCTAAATCTTCCCGAAACCTGAAACGCAACATTACATGGAACCATGAAGTATCACTGAAGTGACCCGAGACTTGAGTCGGACTCTTTTGGGTAAGACGTAATCGGTTCAAGTCTTGCCTAAAGAACAGGGCTCTGTTGTGTCAACAGATAACTTTGGAGCGGACAGAAGTCATATGGGTTCCCCTGACCCTCCTCTTTAAAATCCTTAAAAATCCTCATGTTCCTGCGCCTGCCATAGGACTGACTGTCATATTACGTAGCTCTACGTTACAAAGCCACCAGATGATTCTGAACCTAATCTAAACATTAACAGATGCTTGGAATGTGTGGATGTGCCATGACTTTCATTAGCTGAATAGAAATTTAAGGACGATCAGAAACGGCTAAAACGTCTGACACTGTTGCAGCTTCGTGGAGCAGGAAGTGGCTGAGCAGATTAGTTTACGTTACACAGGCTCACATGGAAATCAGCCCTGTTCTGTGCTTTGCATTGTGGGACTTTATTAGCTCTTGTTACCTTTGGACACAAACACTCAGACTCCTGATTGCTGCTTATCCATCAAGGATATTATTGATTTTCTTCACAAGAGAGTAAATCACGATCGTTTCCAGACTGGCGGGGTGCTTTTGTTTGTGTTTTGCCAGACAGGTAAAGTGGACCCTCACCACCCTCGAGTGTCGGGCCACAGAGGAAATGTTCTGGACATCAAATGGAATCCTTTCAACGATTACTGCATCGCCTCCTGCTCCGAGGACACCACGGTGCGCGAACAGGCCTAGTCCAATCATACCCATATGTCTGGGAAACCAGCTGGATCTTTATGCAATTTGGCTTTTCATCCACGCTCTGTTTAATATCAGAGCTGCTCATGTTATACTTGGTTGTAAAATCACAGGTGTTTATACTTGAACACCTGTGATTTTATTTTGTATATAGACTTTAATTTTAGTAGGCATTCTCTTAAAAAAAGAGATGAATTTTACAAAAAGTTAGAACTAATGCACAATAAATAACTTGTATGGCGAGCAACTCTGAAATTCAATGCCAGCTGATGTTATATTTAATGATAGTGGAAAAATTTTAAAGAAGGGGTAAAACTATGTTTTAGTAAAGTGCGAACAATGTAAGCTGGTTGTGTTTCACCATAAACATTAGTTGCAGCTTGAGGTTCAGAAAAAAATCGATCGTATAGATCAGGGGTGTCCAAAGTCGGTCCTGGAGGGCCAGCATCCTGCATGTTTTAGTTCTCTCCCTAGTGGTTGTAACAACCTCCTCATCAAGTCAGTGTTCTGCTTAGTCCTTCTGATGAGCCATCATTTGATGCAGGTGTGTAAAACCAGGGAGATCCTAATTCTGGGAACTCTGAATCCATTCAAAATGCTCAAACCAATTTTAAAATGCATTGAAGTTGTGCATCTTATTTGCAGCTACATGCATATTGCATTAAACGTCCTTTCGAATAAGTCTTGGATATTTTTTATTTATGAAAAAGCCACGCAGCTGAGCTAAAAGAATTTTATCTACAATATTATATTTTGCTTAAATATAAACTGACGGAAAATAATTGTCTTAAATAAATGTTCTATTTATTTACTCGTTCACGCTCGTCAGTCACATAATTTAAAATCTCTAAACCATTTGAATAGAAAAATTGGTTTCTGTATTAAAAATTGTTTCTGAAGTGGCTCTAAAATCCAAATCGCCAGATACTAAAAGATTTAGCTTTGTGCTGCACTGCCCCCTGTGGGTCTGGCATGTTTAAAGTGACGCTTGTGTTGATGAACATTTCTTAAATTAATCCTGTGTGTACAATGTTTTTTTAAGTGATGTGTTGGAGATATTAGTTTTTATAAATGAGGCCTCCATGAGACTGAAAGGACATGTTGCTGCATTCCTGGAATATGAGCATGTCACTGTAGGGAGATGATTTTATTGCCTGGCTTGTTAAGCCGGGGCGGCCCAGAACAAAGCCCTGCAGACAGAGCAAGAGCCATCCATAAACGTTGCCTGGGGTCAGAGTCTTTTTACTCTCTGCTAAAGGTTCTCCGGTTATTTATTGTGGTTTATGTGCGTGCAGGTGAAAGTTTGGGAAATCCCGCCTCACGGCGTCCTGAAGACCCTGACGGTGCCGTGGAAAGAGCTGCAGGGTCACAGCCGCAGGGTGGGCATCATCGAGTGGCATCCGACGGCGAACAACATCCTCTTCAGCACCGCCTACGACTACCAGGTAACAAACGCCATCAAGGCGATAAGGACAACAAAAAGCTGCTTGTGAAATATATTACAGAACGTTTATAACGACGCAGCCAAACAGGTTTCAGGAATTAGATTTTTAAGGTGATTGTTGCCGGGTGACTTTATGAGGACTCAGGGTTCCTGGCTGGAAAAACCTGGAGCTTTAATGTTTTTTAGAATGAATAAAGGAAAAAGAACATTATTTTGTAATTCAATTCCTTATCTGGCTGTTTCATTCATCTATCCGTCCCTCCCAGCCTCCCTTCCTTTTAAGAGTTTATCTCCCATAAATTACACTTGAAAGTTTGTATTTAATCTGTAAAACTTTAAAGTCCTGGGAACACTGGAGACTGAGAAACAGCCGTGTGTGTAACCATCCAGCTCTATTCTCTGTGACGTTTCTGAGCAGGTCGGATCAGAGATAAATACTTTTATCTGGATTTCTGACATTCTTTGGAGAAAACGCATTGTTTCATCTTGTAGTCCAGATAACAAAGCGAAGTTCAAATAAACGCGGTCAAGCGTGTTCCTTCCAGCTAAGTCAGCGTTAGTTTAACTCTTCTAAGCTTTGGCACGACTGCATCTCATCTTCTGAGACAAACTGAAGCATGTGAAGATATTTCTCTTCACTTTAAAGTTTAAGCTTTTGTTTTAACTTGTACTGACTGGAGCCTGGTTTTCTGTCTAACCTTCTGCCCCCTCCAGATACTTTAGGCCAGTTAAATACTTGGTTTTACCTGAACCACAGAGAATCAGTTCTTCCTTTTAGAGTTTAGCCTCTAAAAAACAATGCTAAACACGTCAATCATCTTTATTATGAATGCATCATATATTTAATTCATAACCAATGTTATTTTTTAACTTATTGTTCCATAAAGATGGGCTAATATTGACAACTGGAAAAAAACCCAAGTAATTTAGTCAGGGGGTGCAGACTTTGCATTTGCTGGTGTACATCAGAAACTGGGTGTTGAAGTGTAACTAATCCCACCTGCAGATGTATTTCAGCAGCTTTGACACGACAGTTAACTTTTTTTTTCTTTTCTCAATAAAAGCAACTCAACTTTTTTTCCCTGTTATTGTGTCTGAATGAAATGTTTTTATACCTGGAGTTGTGATGTAAACATCAACCTATGCTCTTCTGACCAATAGGAAAATTAAGTTGCAGTAGCCATTGTTCCACCCGAAGAGGGCAGCACTGAGACATTTTTGGCAAAATATTACAGAATTAAACAAATTTACTAAAAAAAAAAGTCCAAATTTCTACAGGAACATAAAGGAATATTTTTCTGATGACTGTGCATTTATTCCTCCAGGTGATGATCTGGAACCTGGACTCTCCAGAGCAGGTGATAAAGAACCCCGTCCGGACCATCAAGCACCACACAGACGTCGTCTTGTCCATGTCCTTCAACACGGATGGGAGCCTCCTGGCCACCACCTGCAGGGACAGGAAGATCCGGCTGATGGAGGCGCGCTCAGGGAATATGCTGCAGGTAAAATATTTTTTTACACTTTAAAAAGGTCTTTACTGTACAAAACATCTGTGAAAATAATGGAATGTGAAAGTGGACCAGGGTGGGCAGCCCTGCTCCGCATTTCATACGCTGATGACATAAGCAGTCTATAACAGGTTTCATCAAATCCTGATATTTGATTAAACTTCCTTCCTCGATGAATCCACAGCGCCGCGTTAAACATTTCAAACAATCAGCCTCATCCCCAGATTTCACTGAGGTTTATGAAACTTGGTGTAGACCTGTAAAATCTCTCCAAACAACTGCTTTGGGTCCAATTCAGCATTTTTGGGGAATAAAGTGGAGAGGGCCATGCAAGTGTCATGTTAAATCATTTTGCTCCTTAAATGTAGAAAATACAAATTTTTAGAAGTCTCTTTGACATGAAGAGCCCAGAATTATTTCAGAAAAGCTGCATCATTTCAGCCCAGTTCAACCTGCCACAGCAGACACACTTTCAGAACCGCTTTTTTCTGCAGCCGCTCCTCCTGTGTCGGATCTGATCTGTTTCCTACGATCTACTCAGGTACCCGACATTTCCCTACACAGACGAGGGGAAATCCCACACCTCATTTGAATTATCTCTTGCTCTTTCCCATCACTGCGGTTCCTTTCACTCGTTTCTCTCACACTCGTTGTAAATGGTTCTACTGAGCAGGTTTGCTTGGCTGCAGAATATTTTCTTTAAATGTGTAGAACTATGGATCTTTATTTCGCTGTGCGGTTACCTCACAGCCGAGCCAAAGCGGGAGATTCCCCTCCTCTCTTTTCCCTTTCTCCCAGCAGTTTCAGTGCCATGCAGCCAAAACTGACACCTTTTGTCCTGGACCGGATCCCAACTCGGCGCCACAGACCTCTGGCTCACCAGCAGGAGTCAAATAGATATTTGTTTTTTGTTTTTTTTTGTTTTTTACAGAAGCGGTATTGTTCTGAATGTCGGTGTCGATTGAAAAAGAACTTTCTTATTTTCATTTGAAATTAAGGAACCTTTAGTGTGTGTTTTTGACTAAAACTGGGCTTTTGATTCGGTTCTGCCTTGGAAGGTGTTACGGAGAAGTGGATAACAAAGAGTTGTGGTTTTATGCAATTAAATTACTATTATTTTTTTAATAAAACTGCTTACAGTTGTTTCCTGCTTTGAGTTTGAACTGGGAACCTCCAGGTCTGTGTCCAGCCTGCTCTATTGGACACATTTCATCAGTTTTATATCAGCGTTTTGTGTTCCACTCATCTGGTGACGTTCTAGATGTGGCAGTAGCCGTTTTTCTGGACACTGATGGACAGTTTGTCCCACTTTCCACAGGTTCACCTTAAGATGCAGCTCCAACATGAGTTAGCTTGGTTAAAAAAGCTAAATGTTCAAACAATGCATCATCTAAAACACTTGCAACATTATTACTACTTTCTGATTATATTTCCAACTCAACACGTTCAGATTTAATAAACTTATGTCTCACTTCTGCTGTTTTCATGCAGCACAGTTTGTAATAGTTCAAGGCTAACTAACGTTAGCATATTTGCCGTTTTGATATGACTTGTTGATAATTCAGCTCCTAACAGGAGTTTGGTTTCAGCTCATTAGTTACAGAAACAGTTCCTGTCCTACTTCATAAGTTTCCTTTTGCTTTGATTATCTTCATTTCTTGAAGAATTTTCTCCACAACACTAGAAGACATCTGAGCAGTTTGCAAAGTGTTAAAAACTAATAAGGTTTAACTTTCACAGTGAACATTGTTTTAAAAGATGAAAAATTTTACCTTCTTTTGGGTGAACCTATGCTCATTAGATTTGCATAAAAGTGAACCCCCATATTCACAAAGGTTAGTTCCACTCTTGATGGTTCAGTCAATCAACGCCAAGGAAAATGAATGCCACTCCTTGATTGGCTGCTTTGCAAACACCAGCAAACAGCGTTTCTGGTAGCATTGCAGGAATTTCAGCTTCCCAATCTGCATTTTGTGCGAATAATCTGGAATTGCGTTCAACAGAAAAATCCATGACTACTGAACCACAAACGGCCAAAGGTCCACTGTCACGCAGTTTTGCAAGCTGTGCAAACCAAACTGTTTGCACAATTGTGATTTTTAAAAACTGGCTGCATGAAGCTGATTCTTATCATTTAAAAATACCTTGATTTGTGACTCTTTATCACCAACCTGTTCCAGTTTCTTCATCCGTATCAAATAAAAATACCAGAGATGGTAAGGTTTCACAGAGAGGAAACTGTATTTTAGCTGCATGAAGGCGATTCCTAAAAAGCCAAAAGTTGAATGCTGCAAACAGCTGCAGCATTATGCATCTATTCATGGATTTTGTATAATATTTCAAATACATGTGATTATTTACAAGGACTGGGCAAACAAGTGATCTAAAAGAAGCAACCAAAGTCCAAAGGATTGAAAGAAAGTGTTGTTTGGACACAAACGAAGATATAAGCTCTGGTTTAAGAGTTTTGCACAGTGATGTCTATTTAAATGTATAAAAATATGTATAGATGTAAAGTAATAACATGGAGTTTTAAATGCAGCTAAATCTCCTACTTTTGACTTATCCTGATATTTGTGTTTGTTTGCAGGAAGGAAGCTGCAAGACACACAAAGCCAGTAAGGTGCTAATTTTAGGAAACATGAAGATGATCTTCACATCCGGCACGTCGCGCTACAACAGTCGACAGTTTGTCCTGTGGGATCAGGTGAGGGAATTGGTACAAAATAAATCAAACATTAATGCATAACATGAATTTTTTTTCTGTTCCAATAATAAACTCACTGGGACCTAGACTTATTTAGCATTTTCCTTTTTAAGATGCAGATTTTCTTTTAAAATCCTTCATGTAGAGCTGCTAATCACAACTCTGCCATCTAGTGGCCAAACTAATGCTGTGCACAGGCAAAGTGTGGATTAGGGATTGAGCTCCTGGTTTTTAATTCCATGGATTAAACTGACCATGTTTTGATATCAGGGTGGATTTTCCTGTCTGTTCTCATGACTTTCATGTTGGGTTTTTTAACCGATGTTTTAATCTTTGTTGGTTTCCAGGACGACCTGTCGACGCCTTTATTGGAGGAGAACCTGGATGGTTCCTCAGGTCTCCTGTTCCCGTTCTACGATCCTGACACACACATGCTCTACCTTGCTGGGAAGGTAAACAAGACTCATAAACCCAGACAAAAATCACATCTGGTGTTAAATTCCTTAAAAAGTTGCAAGTCTTCTATTGTTTTTAGGGGGACGGAAGCATCAGGTACTACGAGATCAGCTCAGAAAAACCGTACATCCAGTACCTGATGGAGTTCCGCTCACACACGCCTCAGAAAGGAATGGGTAAGGAACGTGTTGCAACTTCTCAAGCCCTGCAGTTTCCAGGCGGCGTTGACTCTTTGGCACCTGTAAGCAAAGCTGCTATGCAAATCAAGCTGCTTATTTGAATAACCAAATCAGGTCGTCACTGTTGCTGCAAACAGGCTGACGTTGGGAGACGTAAATCCTTACCGGTAAACTGTCAGTTTGCTGCCACACATAAGAATATTTATTAAATTCACAGGTGGTTGGAAAAGAAAAAACGTTGCTGGATCCAATAAAAGTCGTATCGGTGCCATCGTTTGTTACAAAGTAAAAAAATTATCAGCAATAATTGGCTTTATTTAGCTTACGGTGAAAAAACATATGGGTGTTCATTAGAAAATAGAGGAAATAAATATTTCACATGTTTTAATGTGTTCCAAACTAAATATTTAATTTACAATCTAAATATTTAGTTTTCAAATTAAATTTTTAAACTTCAAATTCAATATTTCGTTAAGTACAAAGTAATGACGATTAGCAAATTGTAATGTTTTCTGATTTTCTCAGTTGTTGAGTGTGATTTCCTATATTTGAATTTTTATGATGCAAAGCGCTTTGAACTGCCTTGTGCCGAAATGAGCTACGCAAATAAACTTGATTGATTATTTAGTTCTCAACTAAATGTTTGTCTGAGCTAAATATTTATTTTCCAAATTAAATATTTAGGTTGCTTACTAAATATTTAGCAAGCAAGCCAAATATGCAAATATGTTACTGAATTCCTTTATTAAGAAAATCTAGCATTTTATTCCTTAAAATGTAATAAAGGATTTCTTCAGTGAATATTTGATCATTTGTAGCAAAGGATGCATGTTCAACTAAAAAAAAACTATTTCTAACGTCAAATACTTTATATCGGTACAGTGTAAGGCTGATCTGTTAATTATTTTTTTTGGATTAACTGATTAATAATTGAATAGAAAAATGTGCTAAATATTAGATTTATTAACAGAATTTGAACCAGGTGAAGCTAAAAGCAAAATGTTTGTGTGTATATATATATATATATATATTAGTATAGAATTGGTTTAATTACTTCTGTGTGTTCTTTCAGCAAATGGCCTTTTTTCCCCTATATTGCAGTTAATGATTAATCAATTACTAAATTAGTTGATTATTTCATTAATCGATTCATCATGATTGATCGCTTCAGCACTAATCTAAATTAATAACTGGATGTCATTGGGAGTAAAGCTGCTGTCCTGAGTTTCTGTGTGGTTCTGCAGGTGTGATGCCTAAGCGAGGCCTGGACGTCAGCTCATGTGAGGTTTTCAGGTTCTACAAAGTGGTGACAGTCAAGAGCCTCATTGAGCCCGTTTCCATGATCGTACCCCGCAGGGTGAGAGCGCTCAGATTTACACAGACCTCAAACGCATCACTTGAATTATCAGAGAAACATCTGTGTTTTGGGTTTTATCTATTCTGCCTGTTTTGTTGTTTTAGTCTGAGTCGTACCAGGAAGACATCTATCCGATGACAGCAAGTAACAGACCAGCTCTGACGGCAGACGAGTGGCTCAGTGGGGTCGATAAAGGTCAGCCTCATTCTTATTCAGCTAATTATCTAATCAGATCAATGCTCATAATTCTCCTGGTCTTAACCGTTTAGGACCAATTCTCATGTCTCTGAAGCCTGGGAGTGAACTGACAGAGCCTCCGTCAGAGACGAAGGCGCTGGCCAACTCCATGGACACTTGCAGGTCTTGGAGCCGGCCGGGAATACCGCAGCTCTCCTACATTCAGGACCAACAGGAGGCCAAAGAAGCGAGCAACCTGGTTGAAGACGACCGCGGTCAAACGCATGTGATCAACGGGGAGGACCTGGCGCTTTGCTCGCCTCCCAGGACAGAAAACGAGGTCCGTTTAATATCCAGAAACAGGCTGAAAACACAGTTATACTTCACTTTACATTTCTAAATGTTGAGCATTCATCTGCACCGATTATAGTTTTTATAGTGCTGTACAGCTAATCTCGTAAAAGATGTGATTATTATAAAAATAGTTTTTCTCTTATCTGTGAAGAGTCCACCAGAGGGATCATTAAGGAGTAAATGTACCTTTAATCCCAATCAGTCCAGTACACAATTTTCTACATTATGCTAGCAGTTTTAGCATAACGTCTGTTTTACCATCACATGTTGGCATAACTTCTGCCATGGCTTTTTGCTTGTGTTGTGGTTTTTGCCTATTGTTGACACTTGATTTACTCTGAATCTCTAAACTTCAGAGAGTAACTTCATTCCCACTGTGGGTAAAACATCTTTTCTCTCTCCCTCATGTTTTCCGTGTACCTGCAGCTGCGCCTGAAGTTCCTGAAGCAGCAGGAGGAGATCCGGCGGCTGAGGGAGCTCCTCAACCAGAGGGACGTGCGCATCAAGCAGCTCGAGCTGGAGATTAAAAACATCAAGAACTCCCAGACGCAGAGCTAACTTTTACGAGCGTCCCGGTTTCCCCACGGCGCTGAGCGGGACACTCCAGCTCAAATCCCGGAATCAGAAACGTCTCGTTCTTTAAAACTTCCCGGCTCTCCAGAGACTCAAACCTCGACTTTCAGCCAACACTTGGTGCACATATTCTTTGTTCGTGTACATAAACTTTTTACCGTTGCCCTGTTTCTTTTATATACTTCACTGCTATGCAAGTTTACTGTAATATTTTTAGCCTTTTTTTAACTGATGTTTGAGCCTGAGCCGAAAACGCTGAATTTATTTTTTGTGCTTGATTTAATTTTTTTTTCTCCTGTATTTAAACTGCTGTAAGTGAATGAATGTGAAAGAGCTAAGCGAATGACCTGCCTGTTGAACCCGAGCTCTGCCTTTCTATAAGCTGCAGATCGCTTTATTCCAGCTTTTATTTTGAAATCTTCTGGAAGCAGATTAATTTTAATGTCTACACTAAATCTGAAACTGATGCCATGTATAAGTTTTAACCCTAATTTTTATATTTATTTAAAAATGTGGGCAGGGAATACATTTTAATCAGGAATTTGAATCCCCGGATGTGATTTGTTTGGCAAATATATGAAGATGAAAATTAACCAAATGCTGTTTTTATTGTTTTTATTTTTTTTGCTGCAAAAAACTTAATGACTTATGATTGTCTCCTTTCATTTTTGCTGGGTATCTTTTTTTTTATCATTTTAATACAGAAATGTGAGCTAAAACTGCTTAATATCTTAAAAAAATGGTAATTTTCAAAAGGTGCTTTTAATCTAGTAAATGAATACATAATCTGTTCTAATTTATTAAATATAACTATAATTTTTGTTTTCCTTGGTAGCTTTCTTACATGTTTTAAGTCACTGAATTGCAGCAAATGCATACAAAACAAATGTTTTAAGTTTGTCTGTTTTTAACTGATTTTTATTCAGGGAATTGATTACCAAATGGCACCAAACAAAAGTTTTAAATCACAAAAATATGAGTTATAAAATGATTTTTCCTGTAATCTGTTTTTTAATTTGTTAGACTTTGGTTGCTTTTAACCAATCTTAAATCCTGTTGACTCCGACCCATTTATTGATTTCAATTCTCAGGTTCAACCTTCTTTAGGACACTCAATGAAATACTTAAATATTCAGGCTTTCAATTTCAGACTGTTAATGCAGGATATTAGAAGACTGTTTCTCTCCTTTATTTCCAAGCAAAGAATTAAGGATGACGGTGATCATGTATGGTCAGTAAAGGGTTACATGTGCTGCTAAACTCAACAAATGAGGCAGTGTTGTCAGCACATAGCAGAATATTGCTACAAAACAGTTAAAATGTGATATTTTTCCTCTGTGGCCAACATTTTGTTTTAATGAATCAGTTTATATCTTGAATAATTCGTCAAGTTTTGCTGGATTTTTGTGTCCCATTTCACTAAGACGTCACATTCATCTGCTATGGTTGGTTTTTGTGAATCTTACAATTCCTACATATTTGTGTCATAAACTCATACTTTTCCACACTTTACGGTCGTTTTGCAGCCCTTTTTTAAAGTACACATAAAAAGTCAACATATTAGGCTCATTTTCTCAGCATGAAAATGACCAAAATGCAAAACTTGTGTATACATTGATGACTCCGTTACATTCCGTGTGAAAGTAAGTTTTTGTCTTCTTACTTGGTACAGCCCCCTTACTTTTTATACCCTTTCTTGCGTTTAAGAGAAAACCTAGAGCTAAAAATTGGAGGTAACTGGCTACCTAGCTTCTTTTGCTGCGCTTAGCACCGTTGTTCGCGCATGCGCACTGAAAAGTGCTAGCAAAAGTCCCTTCGTTATAATGGCGGCTGGTAAACAAGTAAAGAAAACGCCAACAGGTAAGGCCGCAGGCAGGACAAATGATACGGAGCCGTCCAGGGCACATGGGGATTTTTTTTTTCTTTTGCGCTCCCTCGCAAAAGAGCCATATGAATGAAATAAGTAATTATTGATATGACAGGAGCAGCGGCTTTGACACCTGGTGGTGGGCGTGTCGATGTGGGAGTGACGTCATGAAGTATGAATGGGAAGGTGACGCTGCTGGCTCTGTGTATGAAGAAGCGGATGAGTTGGGTGGTCAGTCCTCGCACAGTTTGGAGCGTGATAAAAATAAATAAATCGATAATTGTGACGGAACAAAGAAGAGGTTTGGAGTTGATTGATACACGGACAGATGAGATTTCCCGAGTTAATCTAGTGCGGCCCTCTACCACCATTAGTTTGCTGTGTTTTATAATAATAAAACGTGTTTATTATTAACGCTTTGGTGCAAAAAACTAATTGAAAATCGATTTATTTACTGGATGTTTATGTCTGTTAAGGCTCAGATGGAACGGCACAGAAAGCAGCCCTTTAAACCATTCAGACACGAACACAATGGAGACACAATCAGATGACTGATTACCCCGCGATAATAACTCAATAGTCCATGGAAAAACCTTATAAGCTTGTATTAAAGCATAAAGTACGGCGGCCACCGTAAAAAAGGCTTACAGTATCAATTATGCCGCATGAACTGATCAGTAGATTATTGCGAGGGAACGCAAAAGTATTGCGAGGGAACGCAAAACCTTTTGCGAGGGAACGCAAAAGAAAAAAAATTCCCCATGTCCCCTGGAGGGTTCCGTAAAATGATTTTTTTAATGTAATGTGATGTACGCACACTAACTTTGATCTGGTAAATCTCAATCACCTCTGGTTTAGTATCATCAGCAGGAGTCATAGAAAAGGACGTTTTTCGGCCACTGATGTCGGCTAAGATGATTAGCCTGGCCAACGCCTTTCTATGCATTTCCGCTCCCTGAATGGTTGCTATGGCAGATTGAAGGATTTGTCCAACATCCATGAAATAATCAAAGTAACACTCCAGGTATGTTTCTGGTCAGGGAATAACACTGATTTAACGCTTTGAAAAATGTCATTTTAAATTACACCCCCACCTTTAAAAATGTATTTAAACACTTTTCTATCTTTTCATTCAATAAAATTGAATGAAAACTGATCCCATCTGTAATCTTATTAATTTTAAAACGCAGCAGAAAAGCAAAGCAGGGAGCGAGAAAAGCCAAAAATGTTAACATTTTATTTACAAAGTTGTTTTTTTGTCATACAGAAAGTAAAAATGTAGCTACAACCTTGATTTGTGCAACAGGCCGCCACACTAAAAACCATGGCCTGCTGGTTGCACAGCTGCTATAGCAATAATTTTATTGGGGAAAAAAATAGGGAAATAATAAACCCAACAACAAAAAAAATAAAAGGAAAAAAATTAATCCAACAAAATATTAAAAACACAGACCCAAAACTAGATACCAGTCCCAAAGTCCTCACACGGGAATACATAAAGAGGGATGGACAGTGGAAATGTGGAATGCTGAGTGGTCGGCTGCCTGAGAACCTCTGGGATTGCGGGTGGGAGCGAAGTGGGGGCGTTAGGTGGCTCTCAGTTCCTTGGTGTGGGAGGAAGGAGAAGAAAAAAAAATTAAAGAAGATGGGGATTGTGGGAGGGGGCAGCTCCACTCGGCCCACCCGTCGGTACAGTCTTGCTCGTAAAGAGCGCAGTGCTGGGGGGAGGAAGAGGAGGGACAAGTTGACACGGTTTAAAAAGGCGGTGCGAGTTGTTGGAGGGTGGACGTTCGGGTTTGTGAGGGGGTCAAAGAGGAAAAACTCGGTAGGCTCTCGTTTTCAGTTTTGCGTTTAATCGTCTTCTTCGTCGTCCTCATCGTCGTCTTCGTCCTCCGCATCTCGCTTTCTCTTTTGGCCTTTCCCGGCTTCTGCTTCTGGGTTGAATATACACAGAACAAAAACTTCATCAAACTAATGCAAGAATGGCTAGTAATAATTATGCAAAAAAAGCTGCCTAAATAAGCAAGTCCTGTGGTCTTATACTAGGATTATGGCCACGTTTGTGAATATATTCCATATTCAGGCAACACTCTGTTCTTAACAAGCGCCCTCTAGTGTTCAAACAGTGTCACACCAGGAGAGTAAAGTTTTATAATTTTATAGAAGTCATCCACTGGGGTTTGGTAAAATTTTATATTTTGCTTAAATTGAAGACAAACTGAATTCCAAAAACAAAACTTCCAAATGGGCAGAGCAAAGAGACACCGGGGACGTGGTCATGTCCATCTGTGTCTCGTGGCTCCGCCCACTTCAGGGGAATTTTTTTCAGAATTTGTTTATTGCAAGGAAATCCTCACTTTCCCTTTGAGAAACAACCTAGACTTGGGATTTACCAAAACACAAATTAAATATTTCTGGATCTTTGACGTACATCATATTAATAGTATTTAGGAAGCTTCTGTTGCTGTTTTTAATAAATTCATGTCAATTTACTCACTCAATTTTATTGAAAAACTGATTTTTTTAAAACCAATTCTCAGGGCTAGAAGATAAGCATTGTGTAAAAACTAGTAGAAATTTTGGTTTTTCAAATCAGTTTGTTTGCAATTTCAGATGTTATTCTCTATTTTAAATCCAGAAAGGAAGAAGAGCTTCTGTTAGCTTCAGACTAAAATTTGGAATATATTTAGGACAAAAAAGAGTTTGGTTTTGATCAGTAAATATTCATTAAAACTCATCTTTGCTGAATGCAGATTTTATCATCCACCTGTGTAAATATGAGCTTTAAGTAGCTACTCACCCTCTTCGTCTTCATCCTCATCTTCATCCTCATCCTCCACCTCTCCATCCTGACCGAACTCGTCGTCCTTCATCAAAAACATTTACAAGTTTAAAAATAAGCAGCACTTTTTATGTAAACAATCCACCAGGATTGTTTTGGTTTTCTTACCTCCTCATCACCACTAACTTCATCATCATCTTCTTCTCCTTCTACCTCCTCTTCATCTTCCTCATCATCATCCTCCTCATCAAAGTCTTCCTCCTCCCCATCTTCGTCTTCCTCCTCCTCTCCCTCTGTAAAAATAAAACAAAAGAAATAAGTAAAACTCAGATTCTACCAAACCTGATTTTTCCCTTCAGTCAGTGAATGCACCATGCAGTGGCATACAAAAAAAACATCTGCCACATTAAAAAAAAAAAAGTACAAGATGTTTTTATAACTTCTCCCTTATTTTAAATGCAAGTATTCTGTAATTTAACATCCAATGGTCACGTTAAAGATAACAGAATTAAAGATGCAGGTTCATCACTTTTTCCATATAATGTCCAATGTTGGCTTATTTTATTTGCAAAATTCAAATATTTTATCCCCTTTTAATTAAATGATTAACATGACAAATCTGAGCTCATTTTGTACATACTGACCTTCAGCATCATTCTGCAGGCAGTAATACTGTATTACAGTATAAATGCTGTCAGTGCTAAATTTCAACTGGCCCCCAAGTGGAAACCAGGGGAAAAACCCCAGGAACCTTCTGGGAAATCTAGATTCAAGATTTTCCTTATATATTGAATGCAACTCCGTAAAACAGAGATGTTATATACTTTTATTTTATATTTTTCGGTGAGCAAGACCAAACTGCATTCGAACTTTATGTATGCTCTGATGCATAAAGTTAATATTCTGTAATTTTATAAAACAGGCAACATTTTCTATATCTAAACTCAATAAATGTTTTCCAAACAAAAAGTTCATATTTAAAAATAGTTTCTGCAAGTTTCAGGTATATTCAAAGACAAAAACAATATTTAGGCAAATTACCTGAAGCTGTTTTTACTTAACTTTAGGTAGGATAAATATAATTGCAAATTTAAGCTGGAGCAGATGTAATGTAGTTTCAGAGGCAGAATCTTGATAAAACAATTTTCAGGGTCTCCAGTCATTTCTACTGAAATTTAAAAAGTATAAACAGAAAAACGTCACTTTGAGTTTACGGTAGACATTCCTACAGAAATAAATATGGAAACAAAAATGAGATTGACGATCATAAGATTAGATGGATGTTAAAAGTAAAAGGGATGTGGAGAAACATCTGGAACAGAAATGTTTTCTAGACTGCACAGAAATCCTGACTGATCTATCAGTTTGAAAAATAACAGAGGGCTTCACATATAAAGTTTTAATTCACACTAAATATCATAAATTACATGCCTAAAGTAAATATAGGATATATTTTATATTGGCTGATGTCAGCTGATTTTGTGTTGATGTCAACAATCCATGTTTTTTTCCATCTGGTTTATGTTTCTGGAATGGGAGAGTGTTGGTCATGTGATGTTTGTTTGGTCATGTGAGTCATAGTGATGCAGCACAGGATTGTGGGTATCTAACTGAAGCAGGGAAACAGCAACATATAAGACATCACTACATTTCAGTTATCAAAGCAGAAATATAAATATCGAACTTCTTTATTGGCCCAAATATTTATATCAGCACATTCCTATGCAACACCTTTGTGTTTTAATTTCTTTGTGTTTTAATTGAATTGATTCATTTGAAATGGAAACACAGCTACTGTCTTCTTCAGAGGTTCACGTTTCCTTCAGTGATTCCTGGTGCAGCGCCCCTATAGGCGAGGAGTGGAGCAGCTTTTTCAGATGGTTTGGTTTGTTTGACACAGTGCAGTGCGTAAGCAAACCGCATCAACAGAACATGAACCACTATTGCATTTTTAGTCCCAAAACAAAACGAGTCTACCGAACTATCCAGTGTCAAAACACCATAAGAGACTCGAACTTTGTTTGAACACAAATTTTATTTTAAAACTTCATACCTTCGTCCTCATCATCATCCACGCCTTCTCCATCCACCTCTCCGTCAGAGTCAGAGGCTTCCCTGTCCTCCATGTCGTAGCCGTCCAGGTAGGTGAGCTGAGGCAGCAGCTTGAAGACGCTCTCTCTGTAGTCGTTCAGGTTCGTTACTTCACAGTTGAACAGGTCCAAACTCTTCAGGTTTTCCAGCTTTTTCTGCAGAAACGGGACACAAATCAAAACAAAAAGTTTATTAAAATGTAATATGTGTAGCATGGAGAAAAGCTCTGTGTGGACAGAAACATACCAACGGTTCCAACGTGCTGATGTCTTTCAATTTGTTTCCGCTCAGGTTTAGATGTGTGAGGTTGGGGAGTTTCTCTGCTAAAACGTCGAGGCCGCCGCTGATTCTGTTGTCACTCAACTCCAGCTGGAAGGTAAGCAGATGGAGACGTCAGCACCAGCTGGCGGTCAATCTCATGTTAAGGAGCTCCGAGGGAGAAATCTTACCTTTTTCAGTTTCGCTAGTTTAGGCAGGTTGGACACTGAGATTAGGCCGACATTTATCAAACTGAGGAATTCGAGGTTGACGAACTCGGATGTGAGGCCTTCGATTTTCCCTTCAACCGACCGACAATTATCGAGGACGAGTTCTCGTACCTGAAATTAGATTTTAAAAAATGTTATCAATTTTATTACTGAATTCTACAAAAGTCAATCACTAGGAATAAAAAAAGAGATTTAAAACATTAATTTACATGTTTTTTGTTATTAAATAGTGGATGCATTACAGACTAAAACATCCAACATCTAATATAATGCAGTTTGCACCATCACTCAGGGTGACTGGCCTTTTTAATATTATTTCTTTCCTTTTTTAAAATATAGACAGATATACCTTAGCAAGATCACACTACACTGAAAGACTCAAAGACTCAAAATAAAACAAGTGAAATGCTTAACTTTACATCTTTCATTACCATGATTTCTATTTTAGATGCCAGAATATGTTGACAAACATACATGTTTATGGTCGAATCATTCAATGCAGGTAGCTACACAACAAGCCCACATCTTGACACCTCCACCACTGTGCTTTGTAGTTGGTACATATCATGTCTGTGTTGCAGGGATGCACTGATTGCAGTTTTTTTGACCAATCATTGATGTTCCACCATGACGTTTCATTATTCAACAACATAACTGAGGCCTGCAGAGTCTGAGATAAAGCTCCTGGGTTTTTGGAAATTTTTGAGAGCTCATTGTAGATTGATGAATTTCAAATAGTTTGGGAAAACATTTTGGCCCTTCCCGGATTGATGGGCAGCAACTGCTTCTCTACATTTGCTGCTGACATTTCTCCACTTTGCCAACACACAGATCTATTCCCTCTAGACCAGAAACTAACAGCTTTTACAGCTGCTTTTACAGAAGGTGGCCACACTAAAGATGATTAGTAAGTCAAGTCTATAAGATAATTAGCAACTGATTGCCAATTCTCTATCCAAGCCTATAGAAATAGGATGCAATTCAGTTGTAAACTTTGGTTTTCACTTGAATGTTGTACAAAATTTCTAACCTACATCCGACTATTGAATCAAATTAAACTGTACTTAAATCGATACAAATTTGGCCCATTTGTGAGGTAAAGTGTTAATCTTGATGCCACATTTTAATGTTTTATTCAGTCTTGATTAGATGTAATTTAGTTTTAGTCACAATTTAGCCATCTGTGGTCATTTCAGTTTCAGTCAATTAACTCTCGAAAGAAAATTACAGAAATTATCAAGAAATAACCTATCCAAGCAAAGAAATGTATTTTTCCATACACCTTAATTAGATCTGACTGACAGTTTTCATTTATGCCTTGTTCGGAAAAAAGATCGAAAAAAAAGTATGGTTACATTGTTTGTTTATAAAATTAACCTTGCAATCCAGTGCCTTAAGATTTACTGTCACTAAATAAGCTTAATTTATTAATTCTGTCAATCTGTTTGTTTTTTTAAAATATAAAAACTTTTCATAGTGGCTTCAACTTTGATTATTGAACAATTATAATGTCGGATCTTTTGCAGTTTTTAACATCTGAGATCAGATTTCATTATTTGTGCATTCCACTATAATTTTCAATTATCAAGACATGCACTTTTAAACGTATTTTGCTTTCACAGTAGGATATGGATAAAGCTTAAAAACATGTTTTTTGTTCATGAAATACTTTTCAAAACGGCCTACAGACAGGGTAGATGAGAATTAAAAAAAAAAAAACTTTATTCATGTGTAGTTCATTATTCTTTCAGGGACATTTTGTAACGTTAAATATGAGAAAAACAACTCCAAAGGCGGAGTTTATCTGAGTCAGCTTGAACTCACACTGGTTGCGCAATTAAATGTTGGACAAAAACAATGAAAAGCAGGACTAGCAGAGGGAAAAACATTGAAATGAATGGCGTTTCTAGTCCTAAAAGGACTTTCTGTGCGTGTCCTTCACCAAGCCGACACAGATAACCGCCTGCTTTCTTAAAACCCAAGCAGAGCAGAAGCTTGCTATGGCTTCGCTGATGCAGCCACTAATGACAAATGCAATGATTTTTGGAAGCTAGCTGGCTACAGCTAGCCATTGCCCCCTTTTATAAACGCTGCGGAGCGGCAGAGCAGCTGCTACAGACCGCCCGCCATTAGACAGCACCACAGCAACGGAAAAGGACTGCCAACACACCCCCGAAAAGATTCACCCCTTTTCGATAAAACCAGCTTTCAATAAGAGGGTAAAAGTGGAATATTCATCGTCGTCGAGTGAACGACCCAGGTTGTTTAACGACTCGCTTTGAGGTAGAAGTTGCGAAGGAGAGAGAACGGAAAATTAGTGAGGAAAAAAAAAAACAAAGATGGAGACGGTTCCTTTCTGCCAGGGCTTCAAAGACGACAGAGCGACAACATGGCGACTCCACAGCTACAGTATGCAGCTCTCCCAACACTTCAATGGCGGAAAGGGATGTTTAGAACGACTGATTACAGATATTTAAACCTCAAAACAACACTTTTTATGTCTGAAAAATGTCTTTAGTGCAAGCGTGGCTTGAGTGGAAGCAGACCGTCGAGTTTTTCGGTTGCCCACGCATGAAACGCGGATCACCGGATCTCCGTGTCACGCAGGCAGGCTGACTCGGTCTGTGGGGCCGCCACCAAGCCAACACATCAATTTGATTAGCTGCGTACGTGAAGTTTAGCTTTAATATTCATCGACACGACAGCTTATCGTATAATTTTAAGTGTATGAGTGGATAAAATTACATTGTCTTTGGTTAATGTCGAAAAGGGCAATATGGCGATCATGAAGTTCGCTTCCGAATTGTAGCTTCGTTGAGTAAAGGGCTGTTTCACTGCTTTGGAAGTAACCTGGACTTAGGACATTTGATGGCCTGAAAATATAGCTGGCAATCTTTGAAGCTTTTATTCCATTTGCGAAATAAATATTTATCTTTATCAGAAATAAAGCGTCAACCCTGTTTAAGTATTGTATTCTTTGATCTACAGGTAAATTAAACCATTCTGAATAGGGGAGAAAGGAAACATGATTTTTGAAGTTTCACAAATTGAATACAGGTTTCAGATGTTATAAGACTTGTTAAGAATCCATATGTAGATAGCCAGCCTTAGTTTAAATCAATCTAAGTTCTATTTTTGGATATGAACATGATGTGGTCTACTCTGCACAACAAGAAAATAAGCCATGTGCATTATTGTTTCACAATCTATATGCAAGACCCAAAAACAAATTTGTTTTGTATGTTTAAAGCCTATTAAAACATTTCCGTTTGATTCATATTTAAAACTCAATGCAATTTTTCCTCAATTCAGGTTTCAAAGATGATTTAAGATGTTTTAAATTTTCCTTAAGTGTAAGAAACTCCAGTGTAATTTAAATTGGTACTGACAGATTAATACGTGTGTAATGTAAATTAAATGTGAAAACAAGAAAGCACTGATGAATGACTGCAGCTGTATAGGTCAAAAGATCAGTTTCAATGAGTCTGGCTTTTGTGTGTAATAATCCAATCTGTGTTTGACTTGAAATGTTTTGGTTTTTAATCTAAAAACTCTCAGAGGTGGTCTACATGCCAAAAATGTAAAATTGAATCTGCGTTTCAGGGTTTCATAGACTAGTCTGTTGTTCTAATGCTTCAAACTAGTTTCAAAGATTAAGTGAAAAAAAGCATTTAAACTGCCCTTGTTTGTGTTTTCTCAAATAAGTTACTTCCAAGTATGATATAACGTCCTAAATTATGTTTATAAGATTTGTAATCCATTTGTACAATGGATTAATGAATAATCCAAATGTAGAACTGGTTAATTTAACTCATGCAGTTTGTAAAATTGATCCCATCCTGTATAAAAATACATTGAGTTTTTAACAAATCATGAATTCTGTTTAGTGTGGAACAATTCAGCCCAGGTTTGGCTTGAATCAGCATTTTAGATTGAAAACTAAAACTCATCCAATGTGGCCTTAACAGAAGTGAAATGGCCCTTTACGCGAGGGATCTCCGAATCACGAGCGAACTTCGGTGTCGTGGTAATATGGCGGGAACAAATTCCTAAGTTAGCTGGCTGGGTCGCGAATAATGGCAGCGCCTGATTCCATTTAAAACACGGGCAGTTTTCAGAGTCTCGCGGCGAAATACAGTTTGTGTGACCACAGAAGCCTGGAACATGAGTTGATTTTGTAGATTTACGTTAAAACATAGTAACGGCGTAAGCTTTTTAACGCATATTTAATAAAAATCAGAAATAGGAGTGGTTATGCATTTCGTATAAACTGTATTTACTGTGTGTTGAGAGTATCATTACACAGTCGAGGTATAAGTGGGTTTTTTTTGTTATTTTCGCTGGCTAAATGTAACATTAAGTGCCACGACTCTTGATTTCGCTGATAATTAAACTCGTTTTAAACATCCAGGCTCCTGAAATCTGAATTAGTGTGTGCTTAAAAAGCGCCGATTTCTTTCTCTCTTTTTTTAGCAGTTGAGCTAGCAGCAAACATGGCTTCCGATGAGTGTATAAAATATAGCGCCGTGTGCATGCCAAACGGCGGCGGAGGAAGCAGCAGAAATAAGTTTACAGATTGTGCTTAGAGCCGTGTGTGTGTGCAGCGGCGACCGAAGAGGCTGCGAAACGGTTAAAGCACTGCAATAATAATGTCAGCAAACTGGGGGGGAACCGCCGTTTCAAAGTGACCATTGAATCCAGCTTTTCTCGTCTCGTTGCCCCCCTGAATAATACGCCCAATCCGCAACAGTATCGAGGGATTAATGCTTGTTATGCGACTGTTTTTACTCTCTGCTACAAAGGAGAAAACACAGCCTGAAAACCCATGTGGTCACCATTAGCGAGGGGCTAGCCAGAAAACTAAAGGGTTGGTTTTAAAAAAAGCACGACTCACATCAGACGGTGTCCTGTTTCTTAGCTCCAAGTGGATCCTCTTTTTCATGTCCATCTTTTCCCCCTGTGGAAGTGAAACTTTTTCCTCTCTCTCGGGTTCTGCTGGGATCTTCAGTCCAAAACGGCAGAGATGCCCCTTATGGAGGGAGAATATAGGGCTGTGTAATGAAGTGAGCCGAACGCTAAGTTAGTCGGAGAGAAGGGGAAACCATGGAGGGAAACGGGACTGTAACAAAATATATGCTCAACAGCGCCCCCCTCCGCCCCGAACCGCCCATTGCCTCTGAAAGGAGCAATGCAGTCAGAAAACATGACGCGGCCCCCATGAAATGGATCTCTGGTGCAGCTGGTTTCTGCGAAGAAGTTCAAATGTTTAAATAATAAAGAATTATTTTCAAGCTACCAACCAGGTGTTTCTGTTAAATAAATCAGAGGGGACTTTACATGTAGTTTGTCACATGTAAAACACTCTGTATTCCGTTTTGTCTACTGTTTTTGTTGTGAAAACACTTTTTTATAGAAATAAAATCTACCTATTCAAAAAACAAGCTCCCACGTGTGTGCATGTTTCCAGTGACATCATTTAATTTGCTAAATTCCAACGTAAAGGCTTTAAAAGTCTTAATTGTCTCCAGATTTTCCAAAATGGGCCTCAAATTACATTTAATTCTGCCTCTTACTTGGAAATCAAATCATTCCCTTTTTTCATAGATTTTCCAAATGATTTTTGTTTATATTTTATTTCTTAAAGATGCTCTCATTTATTTGTTCTAAAACTTGTTCTTATTATAGTTACATTGTATTGAAACTACAAGGCCTGTTAACCTTTTTGTAGTTTGGTTTGGGCTTTTGCTTTATTTATGTGTTCACCGGGTATGAATTGATGATTAGTTGGTACGAAAACATTGTTTACGAAATTAAAAAGACCTAAAATGTACACAATGACAATGAGCAAATAGTCAAGATTCTTTTTTGTCAATTTTTGTCTCCTTTTTTCATCTTGACTTACCTTTTTAATCAAATTAATCCTTTAAAGACATTTATGTTTACTCTTTTCATAGTGTTTACTATGTCAGCCTATTTGCTTAATTCTGGTGCCTCTTGTGATGTCATCAATCCAAATGCACTCAATCAAAGCAAATAGAGATTATTTTCCTCAATGCTCTTTTCATAAAAAAAAACTTTGTGATTTTTGTAGAATCCACATACTTCATTGATCAACTTTGTTTTATTCTTTCAGTATATTTTTCAATTGAATAAAAAAATTCTGTTGGTTGTACCTTTAACTTTTAAAGAGATTCAAAATAAATGATGTTTTTGATACCACTGAAGTAGTTTTTCCTGTTGTTTAAACCTGTTCTTAAATATTACACCTGTTATTGATTTGGATGTGCACAGAGTATTTTGCGCAGATAAGTATTGCTCTGTTTCTTAGTTGAACCTCATAATACATGTTTAATATGTTAATATTCTTTCCAGTATAGCATAGAAAATGGAAAACAATTTTTTTAGAGTTTTATTAGATTACATACATATTTTGTTAATCCATAGCAGGACATATTTTTCCACTCTATTGTAAGATATGAATTAGTGAAAAAAGACTGAACATTATTTACAGTTTTACAAGTTAAAAGCAATTTGTATTTGAAAAATATACATTAAAAACATCCAAAGATATGACACTTCATAGTAAAGTTGATTACACTAATTGTGTTTTGTTGTTAAACACCATAAATCATACGATGTAACTCAGTCTAACTTAAAATCTGTTGTGAAATCATGTTTTGTCTGAAAAAGCATCCAAATTTTCTGCACAGATACTTCTCCCTTTTTCTTCTCAGCTGGGACACATGGCTTGGAAGGAGGTGTGCATTTGGTCTGGAGTAAAGAGAGCATTGTGCATACATGAGGACGGCTTCGCTCCCCTCCTTCAACCCAACGCCTTTACTTCCTGACACCCTGAAGTCCGAAACACTGCAGAACACTATTGGTGTGTCTTTTTTTAAAATAAAACAAAAATATCTCTGAAAATCTGGATTTTAACAAATTTATTAGATGTTTTCAAAGCTGTTTGTGGAAATCCGTTCTAGATGCTACAACTGAGCCTGTAGATGGCGCTGTGGTATCATTTGGTCGTTACACAGACATTCCTCAGTTCTCGGAGCTGAGAGTGGCTGACAGTCCTTCCTGCTTTCTGGCTTGAGTAATTTGGATGCCCATGCATACCTGGAAGGATTCTATGTCAGCTCAAAGATTTTAGGATTTCATCCGAAGACATTTAAGAACATGAAAGTACAGGAAAATATTTACATTTTCCTTTCAATCAAACCAGATTTTCTACTAGTCTTAGAAGATCTTATCTTGAGTAGATAAGATCACTTTTCACCAATATATCCAGAAGTGATTGCATCACCATTGTGATTTTGTGACTGACCTAATTCAACAGAGATCCAGTCAAAAGGTGCTATTGGTGTCACAATGAGGGCAATGGAGATCACCGTCTGTGATATAAAGACATTTATATCTGGAAGAGCCATTGACTGGTTCAGTTATTACAGCTAGAAAATTGTAATCAGGCCTGAAATCTGAGTGTGGTGATGGACTCAGACCTGAACCTTCATAGTCACATAAAGACGGTTAAAAAGTCAGGCTTCTATCACCTGAAGAACATTTACAGGATTACAGAATTATTACAGGATTTAGAGAAACTTGTCAAAGTTTTTACCTTTAGTTGCATTGATTACTGCACTAGTCTGCCTAAAACAACAATCAGACAGTGCAATACAAATAAACTTGACTCAGCATTCCTGGCTGCCATTCCAGCATGAAAATTAAAGAACATTCCAGTATTTTACCATATTCGACACTAAACATGTCACTTAAATACATTACAAATAGTTTGGGCCTAACACTGGTTCTAGTGGTACCCCAGAACTTAATAATAATGACATATGATTACCTACTTATACAAACAGTTAACTTTTTAACCAGTTTAACACTGTGTTATGATTGATGTTAATGTTTCTTTAAATCAAATAAAACTGCATTTTTTCTAAATGCACAGTGATTGTTGTTTTCATGTGTTGTGGCCAAAGTCTCCAGTAACACAGAAAAAAGTCACTAGATTTGTAATTTTTTGAAAAAAGTCACCAGATGAGTCTCTCACACCACTCTATAAAAAATAAAAAGAAGACCTGGAAATTTTTGACTTTTGAAATTTAGCAATTAAATAAATACATTTTTTTTTTAAATTCTATAAAATTCCTGAGATTAATATCAAATTTATTTATTTTTTTTTTTGGTGGAAATTTAGTTATTTTTTTCTAACTATAATGACCCTAATACAAAACTGATGAGTTAGAAAGCAGTTTTTAAGGTGTGAGCCAACTTGAGATACATCGTTTAGGACTCCCAAGTGACCACCAATTAAATTAAATTATTTAGTTTCTATAGTATTTACTATAATTATTTTATTTTTTATTTTATTTTAGTTTTCAAGTTAGAATTTAGCCCTTCAGGAGCAAAATAAGGCTCTTATTCACTAAGTTTGTGTCCAAAAACAATAAATTTGACTGTTTTGTTGCTTTTCTCTAAAAAGAAAACAACAAAGCTCCGTCTGAATGAACCACAAGTCTCCCAGAACATTTTTTGACAGATGAGACCAAAATATGGTAAAATAAAACGAAGCTGGGTGAATCACAGCTGTACCGCGTTAGCTGACAAACACAGGAATCCAGTCGACACAATGGCTTAGTCAAAGCCCAGATCTCAATCTGATTGAAATAAGGTCCTGTGTGAATTTAAGGAACCCATTTTTACAAAAGAAAATGTGTCCATACTCCTCCACCGACTGATAATGTCAAACAGAAAACTGCTGCTCCTCTTGAATCGAGGGGTGTACTTATTTAAATGGAACCCTCCAGCATTCCCTAAACAGCTGGGACATTCAGGGTCATTTAATCTGTTCGTTTGGTTTTATTTTCTCCTGTGAGTGGCTCGGACACACACATGGGGACTCAATATGCTGAGAGCAGATTGAGAACACTCCCAACTGAGCGTGCTCTGTCTGAGCGATAAGGAGGGGATGAACCCTGCTGCAGGCTGAAGGGTGGGAGCTCTCATCTCACTTTGTTTGGTTCTGCCTGAAAAACCTGCAGGGAGGCTTTGGGGCGGCTGTTCTGATTATGTATGATTTTGGAGAAGCCTTTTGTGCAGAAATATGAATAAAACTCAAACTGTTTTGCTTGTAACCGACTAATTCAGCAGGTTGCATGCAAGCGTTTTCACCGCTCACACACCGACCGCCTCCCTCCGGTCAGTGTGTGCTCTCCCTGTCAGAGGGAGAGTTTTTTTCTCCCTCTGACAGCTCAGTGCCAACTCCTCCAGCTTTACAAATACGATAAGGCCCAAGCTGCAAGAACTCTCCCAGCTCTGAGTAATGGTTAACCAGATAATTCGTCTAGAGGAGGGGGGTGGGAATAGACAACACATTTTTTTTTTTTCTTGTTCTCTGCGCTGTTTGCTTGCGCGCCTTTACAGTTGAGTTCATTCATATCTGCAGCCAGAATGGAGGAGACGTCGCAACAGGAGAACTTGCAAGAAGTGGAGAATAAAATCCAACTTGAGGAGGAAGGTATTAGTTCTGCTTCTTTTTGTATTTATCTATTTGCGTTTGATCTGATAGAGTCGTAATAAGGTGGAGATGCAGTTTCTGTCATTGGGGATTTATTTTAAAGTCAAAGATTGGTCCCACGTTGCAAAAATATTACATTTTACCAAGTATATTTACTCTAGTTTCTAGTGCAAATATCTTGGTACACTAGAAATAAGACAAAACTAACTGAAAAGTAACTTTTCAGCTTGTTTTAAGTCAATAATTTTATAATATTGATGAAAAATTATGAGTTCTACTGTCAGTACAGACATGTTTCCCATGTTATAAGTGAAATAATCGGCCAATGGAACTAGTACTTTTCCATCAATATTAAGGAATTGTTAAAACAAACTCTTATATCTTGCTGAAAAGTTAAAAATAGTTTTGTCTTATTTCAAGTGTGCTAAGATATTTGCTTTAGAAACTAGATGCAAAATACTAGGTAAGATTTTGTGTTTTTGCCGTGTAAGCGTGATCAATGTACAGCCAGAGAGAAATAATCCTACACAGGAACCAGGTCTTTCTGTTATGTCTAATAGCTGCAGATTAGTCCATATTTAAGTTTATGGTCATGTTTTTTGTTATGAATTTGTTTCAGGCGGGATCCGGCGGCGACTGAGAGACAGGGAGCTTCTCAGGAAGAGAAAAGCCGAAGCAGAAGAGAAGGAAACTAACCAGTGGGTTTTTGGGTAAATTTCTTTTAAGACAAACCCTGTCAGTGAAAATACAAGTTTAAATGCTTATGCTGAATATTTAAAGTCAAAGTAGATGTTAAAGTTTCTTTACAGAGTATGGCGATAACATTATCAGCTCTAGCTGCTTATCTCTCGTCTCGTTTATGTTGAATATGGAGCAAGAGGAAAGCAAAGGTTGCTCTGGTGGGCCTATGATGCCCAGGTCAGAGCCAGGGACTTTGTACTATTAGCTTAGCAAATGCATCACACCGCCCTGTGTCAGCTGGCTTAACAATTAGCTGGACTCTTTCAGGGTGGAGAGCCAGAGGAAAAGGTCAAGAGGCGAGAACAATAGTGGCACCAAGAGGAGAGGGAGACCTCGGAAGACCGACCCCGTCCTGCAGTTCCCAGTCATCTCGGGTCAAATACTGACCTCTCAGACTGGCATCCCGGCTGTGGAGTCACAACAAGCTGCAGATGTAGATGCACCTGCTCCTGTGCTGGTCCGAAACCCACTTTTTGAGAAGCTAGAAGTAGATTCTGCTCCAGTTCCTGCCCAGTATTCAGCTCCAGATGTGCAGCTCCCAGTACAAAATCCCTATGCTGCTTCAGTCCCAGTACAAGCTCAATACGCAGCTCCAGAACCAGTACAAGATCCTTATGCTGTGTCAGTCCCAGTACAAGCTTCCTATTCCGCTCCAGTCCCAGTAAAACCTCAATATTCTGTCCCAGTCCCTGTAAAAGCTCCCTATGCCGCTCCGGAACCAATACAAGTTCCCTACGTCGCTCCAGTCCCAGTAAAAGCCTCCTACATGGTACCAGTCCCAGTTCAACCTGCTGATGATGATCCAATCGAAGTTCAAGCCTCCGATGATGTCCCAGTTCAATTTCCAGATGCTTTTCCAGTCCGAGCTCTGTCCCAGGACGTTCCAGCTGCAGTTCCAGCTCCTCCCCAGGTGGAGGCGCTCTACCCAGAGTCTCCAGACAGAGAGACCCCAGACCAGGTTCTGATAGAAGACTTGGGCCCGGATGATGAAGAGGACGTCTCTCCTTCGGAAAATGACAGAGCAGATGAAGGTAGGAATGTCCTGATGTTGCTCTCACTGAAGCTGCAGTATGTAATGTTTATAAAAATTATATTATTTATGTTATATATACCATATGTATATATAAAACATATAAAACGATATGAGACAGATAATCTGTGAAAAAAATCAAGCTCCTCTGCTGTCTCACAACTAGAAACAACCAAACAGAGCCAGGAGGCGGGTCTTAGCGCTGTCAATCACCTCCCTTTGCTCTCTGCTAAGCTGCAGTTAGCATAGCCTGTTGTGAATGCTAAGGTCAGTTAACTTAGCCACTGATGAAGACTGCTTTCCCTGTAACAGTAAGTTGTTTCCCCACCTTTAGCACATTCAGCAGCGAGTACATGAGATTGATTGACAGCGCTAAGACACTCCTCCTGGCTCTGATTGGTTGTTTTTGACTTGGAGCGGTACATTTCTTCAGTAACAGTAGGAGGAGCTGGATTTTTTCACAGATTATCTATCTGTTATCATGCTGTCACAACATTTTGGCAGTTTTAACAAATATGTAAAATAAAAAAACACACATTTTAAAATAAAAGTTATGTACTGCAGCTTTTATTACATTTTTTTACTTAATTTTTTAGCATTTTTCAGTTTTTAAAGAATACATACAAAAAATTCCCCGACCCCAACTAATAAAAGTTCAGAGCATAAAACTGGATAAAGACAAAATAAATAATAATAATAAAAAGTAAAACCAAGTGTGAGACGTTCAAATAAACACTTGTTGCCAAGTTCAGGTAGAGTTTCCATTTCTTCCCGTTCTTCTTATGACCGTTTTATCTGTGTGTCTCTTCCAGGTTTAGATGAAACTCCGCTGATGAACTTGGCCGACCAAAACAAAATGTACTCAGTCCCAACGCTGTCCAGCCCTCCTCTGCCTCAGGAATACCTGCCAGGGAATCAGATATAAACTTTCCCCATCAGTCCAGATCTAGAAACCCAGATCTATTTTTTTATTTTTTAAGGTCACACTGTGTGTCTGAAGTTTATTTTGGTTAGTGTGCTTTTTATTATTGCAGAGAGACAATTGTTATTGCTTATGTGAAAAAAAATGCTTGAATGCAAACCATACCTGCATTGGTTATTTATTCTGAAATGTGCTTTACTGCAAACTAATACAAATGTGTCTTTTATTTTTTTGTACTTTGCATTGAGTAAAGAGCTAAATCTTACTTTCATTATTTAAGTAAGAATAACTTGTAATTGTATTTGTAATAGTGGATTGTCTTTCATTTAATTTTGTAAAAAAGATTAAATAAAATTACTTGCTTACATCATGAAAAGCTGGTCGTTATTTTCATCCGAGACAGAAAATTGTGTAAATATTGATTAATTATATTTTTATTTTCAGATTCATCAAGTTAAAGTGAAGTTAAAAAAATTAGAACTTTCACTTTTTTGATCGGTAACTTGGCAGGAAAGAAGGTGGAGAGTCAAAGTAAACGACCCATTGTCTGCTCCACTACCTGAGTCAACCAGTGCCACAATAACTACAAATTTTAATCTCAAACAGAACAAAACTTTAAAAAATGTGTACTTTAGGAGAAAAATAAGGATTTTCTGAGGCATCATTGTTTCTGCTGTTACTGTAAATTTGCATTCCTACGTAATGAGGTAGAGGGTTTGGTAATAAATAACATAAAGACAAATAAATGACCTGTAATCTCTAAATGATGGCTCACACCTTTGAATGTATATGAGTTATAACAACATTTAATTTCCCTTTTGGATCAATTAAGTATTTTGAATTTGAATAATATTGGTCAATTAAGTTGAATCTGATTCCAGTCAGGTTTGACCAATAAAATGCAGGTGTACTTTATTTTTTTGTATCTTGTGAGTGCAATTAAATTAACAAAAATAATTGGTTTACCAGAAGAAAATATATGCCTTGAAATAACCTAGCCAAAGTTCATAAATAGATCTGATATAGCCATGGGAGATTGAACCTGTTGTGTTAGGGTTAAAGGCCATATGTCAACCTCCGCCCCTCTAACATGTGGGGTGCCACAGAGCTCAGTTCTATCCCTCCTTCTTTTTGGTTTTATATTTGCGTCTACTGAAGTAATTATAATAAAAATCTTATGCTGACTTCTTGTTATAACATCCAGCTCCCAAGGCCATTTTTGATCTTTTCACCTGCCTTTCTGCTGCCACCTGCTGTTAGAAGCATGAATGTGTAAACAACCTAAACCCGCTCAATTATTTTCTTATTATTTTCTACCATGGCCGCAAAATTTTAATTAATGATAATAAAGCGGTTTTTATACTGCTTCACGCCCTGTACATGCTCAGCTGGGCGCTTTAGTGCCTCGTGTAAACTTGTTTGTTTTTCACTGTAAACAGTCTTTGTTGGCCAACAATAAAATCCAACACGTGCTTCCTCCACGCCGACGTCGAGCTGCGTCCACCGTGATGACGTTCGGACGACGGTTTGCTACTATCGTTATTAGCTACAGGCTAACCTGGTGAAACCTGTTTTCTCTCGTTGTTTCTTCTTCGTTTCAGTAAAAATGAGTCCGCTGTGTGAGCACTGCGGGGAGAACATGAAGAAGATGAATCAACAAGTTTCTGTAATGCGGAAAGAAATAAAAAATCTGAGGTATATTTAACTTTAAAAAGACCAAACTGAAGTTAGCATCCGATTGGGCTGCTGGTTAAAGGGCTGTTTCACTACATCTGAACTTTATTTGATTTGACATAGCTACTAAATGATAATGGGAAAAAAAACACATTAGGCTGAATTGGATTATTTCAGGGTAAATTATCCCTAAAAATGGGCCTTGTGGAATTAGTTTTCTTTAGTTTATTTCACTGCATTGTTTTATTGTTTGGTATGTCATGAACTGCATTTTAAATAATTTCTATCAGTTGCATAGTAATTTATTCCATGTTTCACCAGATTAAGTGTTGGCATTTTCAAGCTTCCCCTCTTCTAATGTGGTATAAATGGCTTCTTTTTATGTTTTCAAAAATATTAATAATATATGTAATTTGTATAGCACTTTTCAAAACACTCAGAGTACACCAAGTACTTCAAGCAAAATTATAAAAGGGGAATATTCAAATACGTAGCATGTTAAAAAAAAATAGGTCACAGGTTGAAGCAAAATGTATTTTTATTAATGTTTATTCAGATCTGAAGTATTTTAGGTTTAAAATATTCCATATTCCTTAAAAGTAGTGAAATAGCCCTTTAACCATAATGTGAAGGTGGGAAGTAAGATGTCTCCAGTTTTGTACTCCTCTGTCTCCAGTAATAACCTTTTTTTCTTCCATCTTTTCCTAAACAGACAGACGTTGGACGGGGCTGTCAGAGCGCATCGCAAACATCTGATGTCGATTCAGGCTGCTGTGTCAAAGGCCGACTTTTCTGGCCACAATAAAAAAGACTGCACATCTTCATTATCAGCGCCAGACGCATTAGAACAAGGTGGATATACTATTTATACTTAATACACATAAACTGCACAACATGCTGTCATGATTAGCTGTTAGGACCGAAAACAAAATGAACTCATTGACAGAACTTCACAATGCCTGAAAAACTTTGATCAAAAGAACTTTTATTTTTGCACTAATTAGATGAACGTTTCTAAGATTAAATTAAATCACTTTAGTCACAAAGTAATTTTTACAGCTAGAATTGTCAAACTGTCAAAATTAAGATGTGTAACCATGACAACGATGGGTTATTGTTTAAAACAAACCGTCTCTTCTCTCCACCATAACTGGCAATGATCATATCACTGAGTTAGGTTAGATGTGAACAAAAAAATATGTGCTGCGTTTACCTCTCCTGTTTTGATTAAACTGCCTGCTTTTAAAATATTTTAACCACACTTTGCAGGAAACATCCAGACTGTGCCGATTGGTTACATCAGCTCCTGTTTTTCCGTGAAGAACGGGACGCCCAGGCAGCCGACTATCTGCGGCCCGTCACGGGCTCAGCTGCAAATCCAGCAGAGCGTTTTCAACAACCCTGAGCATGCGCTGGTGGGCCTCGAGCAGTACTCGCATGTCTGGTACGTCACGCATATACTGCACATATCTCTGGGTCTCCTTTAACCTGTCAAGCTTAGAAAAGCCTCAAGTGGGTTTTGTCCTGCTGATAAACACGGTTTTATTTATTTATTTCATAAACTACAGGAAGGAACTGCTAATTCTAAATTAACATCAGTAGGAGGAAAATGCGGCGAGGTTCTCTATCTGCCCCAGTGTTCATGGGATTTTCAGCTCAGTTTCTTCTTTCTTCTCGATAAACTGAATCAAAATACACATTAGTGCACATGAAGCCCAAATCAGGGTGTCTGCACATCCTTAAAAAGTCTTACATTTAGTCTTATCTAAAATTAAGGCCATAAATTGTTTTAAATTTACTGGAAAAAACCCCAACAACTTTGCTCTTAAATGTGTTAATCACAGGCCTTAAATTTTGTTGTGGTGGGACTATTTAATCTGGTCTATTCTACTAAAGTTTTCTTTTTTCTCTTGGAACACAACATAGCTGCTAGCATACCCTTGGCTAGCTAGCTAGCTTGTTTGCTAGCAAGCTAGCTAGCAAACAAGCTATCTACCTCCATGATGGGTTCCTGCACATTTATCTCCAGTTGGCTGATATTCTTTTTAGTCATTAGGTACCAGGAAACTTAAACTCTGTCTTTGAGGCAGAGACTCTTTCCCAACCCATATGTAGTTTTGATCTTATTCCGGTCAAATTGGCCACTTCACACTCCACCCCATGCTGAGCAGCATTATCGCTTGAAGATCCCAAAATCATCTTTTGTAATTACAAATGAAACGCTGAGATGAGCTTAAGCAGAAACCTTCCTTTATTGAGGAGAAGGACATCAAAATATTATGTTTTTGCTACTTTTTCTATTTTTGAAGCCTGGAAGTGGATGTTTCATTCTGTATCTTTGTTGATAACATTCAATCTTTACAGGATTATTTTTCTTTTCCATAAAAACGGACATCAGAGTTACAAAGCCAAGGTGAAACCTCCCAGGCTGAACGGTCAGAGAGTCGGAGTTTACTCGACACGAAGTCCACACCGACCAAACTCCCTTGGACTGACACTGGCCAAGCTGGATAAAATTCAAGGTATGAAG